TGTCTGTCTGTCTGTCTATCTGTCTATCTATCGTTCTATCGTTCTATGTCTGTCTGTCTGTCTGTATCTATCTGTCTGTCTGTCAGTCTGTCGGTCTGTCTGTCTGTCGTATCTATTTTTCTTGCTCTATGTATCATTCATTCTGTCTATAGTTTGTTCTGTCTATCATTTGTTCTATCATTCTTTTATTTGTTCTATCGTTTGTTCTATCTGTTGTTCATTATATCTGTCAGTCGTTCTGCTATGTCTATCGATTGTTCATTCTTTTTTTCTAGCTGTCGTTCTCATTTTTTATACCATTGTTCATTTGTTCTATTGTTTGTTCTATCTATTGATTGTACTATCTATCATTCGTTATATCTATCGTTCATTCATTTTTTCATTTGTTCTGTCTATCATTTGTTCTTTCTATCATTTGTTCATTCATTCTGTAGTGTGTTGTGTCTATCATTCGTTTTACTGTTCTATCTGTCATTCATTCTAAAAACAAAGCGTTCTGTTGCAGTGGTTCTGGATGGGTATAAATACACATGAGAGCAGGCAGAATTGAGGGCTTTCGGTTGTCTGATGAATGTTTAGTTTGTGTGTACACACATCATTTCACTGTTTACATCATATTGTGTTTCCCAACAGTGCAGCCGTCTTAGTCTTTGAGATGCTATTCTGGCTTTTATTCAGATTCATAGTTGTATAATATCGTACCGTGGATAATGTACGTCCCTTTCACGAAGCGTCCCAGTCTGGACTAGTCCGGCGGTATGAAAAGAGCTCCAAATATTTACCCAAAACTGCTCATAGTCTCCCACACAATCCAAACATCCCCTGCGTCTCGGGCTGAAGGTCCACGCCAAACCATCAAAGGCAAAAGCCTGGGATTGCTGCTCATTGTGATTACGAACGCTCCCAAAAGACCTGCTGACTTTATATTTGCTCAGAGCTTAATCCGCAAAGCGCTGTTTTCATGCCGAATGAAAGGAGCGAGTGTTTGGCTGGGAACGTGAGTCAGAGCGAGCAGGAAGAGACATGCTGCCCTCCTCCCAGACCCCCGCTTCTCAATCAAACACTCCTCCTCTCCTCATCTAATCCTGTTTGCTCTTACAAATCAGATGGAGAAGTGAAGAAAGAGCGTGTGTGTGTGTGTGTGTGTGTGTGTGTGTGTTGTGATGGAGAGCGTTTAATCACTGTGATGATGTTACTGACACGTATCGTCTGTCGATTTTAGTTTATAGTTTGATTTTTGTTTTTTCACATTTTAATTTATATTAGTTTGATTTATTTATTATAGTAATCATTTATTCATTATAGATTTACTATACTGTATATTTTTACTATACTATACTTTTATTTTACAACTTAATTTTATGTTTTTTTACATTTTAATTTATATTAAAGTTTGATTTAATTATTATAGTAATAGTTTATTCATTATACATTTACTATACTATATATTTTTACTATACTATACTTTTATTTTACAACTTAATTTTGTGTTTTTTACATTTTAATTTATATTAGAGGTCAATTATTTTCATATTAATCATTTATTCATTTAAGTACTCAGTTGACATCTAGATTTTTTTGCATGTTCATTTATATTAGTGTTAGATTGTTTTAATATATTAATAATAATTTATTAGTTTAAATACATTTAGTTTGCATGTTCATTTTGTGTTTTAGCATTTTAATTTAGAGTTAGATTATTTTAATATATTATTAATAATAATTTATTCATTCATCTTAATTTGTTTTTTTAATCATTTTAATTTATATTAGTGTCATATTTTAATATATGAATAATTTATTAAAATAAGTACTTAATTTACATCTTGTTTTTTTTTAGCATTTTATAGCTTTAAAAGGCATATATTATTATTATGTTTGTGTAACAGTACGCATTATTCTACAATTGGTTTTCAGATATTGTTTTAATAAAAATACTAAATTTTTAATATTGTGTAATAATTATAATAATTTAATTATTATAATTGTGTTTTTTTAGCATTTTAATTGATATTAGAGTTAGATTATATTAAGATTAATTTAAATACTCTGTTTACATCTAGGTTTTTTTTATTGCTGAATTTAATTCATTTCTTTAAAGACATTTTAAACACAGATTTGTTTAAAAAGTGTCTCGCAGACTTTTTCTCTAAAAAAAAAAAAGGAGACCCGTGCAAATGACAAGTGTTTTCTTGCATGTTCAGAGGAAGTCAACTCTCATTGAGCATCTCTTAACGAGCGCTTGTTAGTGACGGGGGTCTCGCAGACTTTTTCTCTAAAAAAAAAAAAGGAGACCCGTGCAAATGACAAGTGTTTTCTTGCACGTTCAGAGGAAGTCAACTCTCATTGAGCATCTCTTAACGAGCGCTTGTTAGTGACGGGGTTGGGCTCTGATATGCGTGTTTGCACATGCGTGTGCGCTGTATGTTTGCGTGACCCGCGGGGCTCAGGAAGTGTGTTAAAGAGGGAAATCCTCAAACACACGCGTGTAAATCTGTCGCTTTGACTGTGTTTCTCTCACAGCTCAAACTCTGTCTTTTACTGGCTTATTCCCTCACTTCATCTTTCTTTGTGTTCTTTGACATGGGCATACAGTGGAAACGCTGTGTACGTCATCACACTCTCTGAGAGATGATTGGATATTGATACAGAGCAGAAATATGCATCATACACTGAATGCTGTTTATAAACATCGTGTGACTCGATGCATTATTCAGTAAATGTTTTGCAACATTTCAAGTTTTAAAAAAAATGCTACTTTTTTGCAATTAAATCTATTTTTTA